TTTGGAAGAGTTTGTTCTGAGGAGTCGGAGAGCTTCCCCTTTAATGAAGCCTTTTTTAACTCCTTGCGGGTGACAGGAAGCAAAATGGGTATACTGAAATGTCTCAGTTGGTTTGAAATGAGTACGCACATTAAGGATTGCGTCTCTTTCGAATCTTTCCCCTTTGTAGATGTAGGTGTCCAGGAATGTTGTTTCCTTATCGGAAATTTCAGCCGTAAATTTGATCGTAGGGTGATGATTATTTGCTTGTTCAATGAAATGTTCTATTCTGTCTCTGTTTGTAGTCCAGAGCGAGAAGATGTCGTCTATGTAACGTTTCCAAACGAGCGGTTTGAAAAGGCTTCGGCTAGGGATTTCCGTCTCTACCTTGTTCATGAATATATTAGAAAAGGCGACTGCCATTTTCGTGCCCATGGCCGTACCATGTGTTTGAGGGTAGTTTTTTCCATTAAACTGGAAAGAATTTTCTTGGAGAATTAGCCTGAGCGCTCGTTTTAGTAGTTGTGTAGGGATAGGAGGTTCGTTTCTATAGAATATTTCGTATGCTCTGCATACCGTGTCTATTCCCTCCTCTTGCGGTGTGGCCGGAAAAGGATCTAACCACTTGAATTCATTGACGCCAAACTCTTCTAGATGAAGCGTGACAACATTTGTTTCTGGTTCTATAAGGTGGCCCACTTTCAACATTTGACTAAGAGAGACAGAACGCAGTATTACAGACGATTTTGTGACAGCTGTCGCCGCATTATCGCACTTTCGTGGGCTAACTGGCTCACTTTTATGTAATGGCCGGACGAAGACTGGCTCCTCGGCTTTTTGCGACTTTTCTTATTCCAGAAATCTGATATGAATGACCTTCGACCAGTCTTTGATCTGAGAGAGATCTGCCCGCGAGAACATCACATTCGCAATTTGTTCCAAAATGCGACTTACAGGCATCTTTGATATTCTTGAAAGTTGGTTCTTTGTCGAACGGCACGAGGGTTAAAGGGCCAAGCGGTTGTACTTTTGGCACTTGCCTTGAACGTTTCGCGATAGTCTCTGCACAATCAAGAAGCCTTCAGACGCACTGGGGCTAGCTTTATCGCTCTTTGCACCTACCCGTCTCTTTCCTTGGCGCTCCTTGTAGTCGTCCCATTGCTTACGTTGACCCGACATGACTGAAACAGAGGAATCATGCAAACATCGCTTAGGAGCCACGCAAAAGATCAGCCAAGTGCATTGTGGGCTCTGGCATTGATAGGCCATGAACAACATTTTTTTTTTTTTAGAAAAACCTTATGGCCCTGCTAGGCCAAGAAAATATTATTTTCGTTTCATTTTACTTTTGCTTAAAAATTATTTTACTTTACTTTCTATTTTTTTCGTTTAAATTTGATTTAAAGTATCTCGATAATAATTTTTTTTTCGTTTAAAGTTTAAAAATAAAATGAAATAACGTAATAAATTACGGGGAACTTACAAGATACTACACAATTTTCTTATGGCACTCCTAGGCCACCATAGACAACCTCGAACCGTGACTTCGTCGTATAATATGCCGCACCGCAGAAAGACGAAAAAGCTAGACACTTTTTTGATCAAATTATTTTAAGGTTTAAACTCGAAGCTTTATATAGTGTAAAATAATTATGATTTACTTTTTCTGGTATCACTTGTAATGATAATAATAATAATAATAATAATAATAATAATAGCAATAATAATAATAATAATAATAATAATAATAATAATAATAGTAATATCGCACTGAAGGAAACTGAAAAAAAAGCAAGTACAAAGACCTAGAACTAGAAATACAGAGAATGTGGCATATGAAAACCGTAGTGATCCCTTTGGTTGTTGGTGCGCTTGGAACAGTGAAGAAGGGTATGACAGAAAACATCAAGAAATTATCAGAGAGAGCTACTATGACAGAGATTCAAAAGATCTGCATGCTGGGATCTGCGCGAATCCTCAGAAAGGTGCTCAGTGTATGAACAGAATGATTGGCTTGAGTGACTAACGCTCTAGGTGCATGGTTTGCGCCCTGCTGATGCAGAAAAAGAACACCAGCAAGGACTGTGATAAAAGATATAATAATAATAATAATAATAATAATAATAATAATAATAATAATAATAATAATAATAATAATAATAATAATAATAATAATAAAACAAAACTTTATTCAGAGATTTAAAAAAAATAGACTATTTACAGATTCAAGAATATGAAATATTAAAATATATACCCTATGTACATTCTTCTTGTCTACGAAAGAGAATTGTTGTAAAATGACTATCTAAAGACTACTAATAACAAGAATCGCCGAAAGGCGATTATTAACTGGGCTGCCAAGGGGCTATTTTTTTCTGAGGGGAGGGGGCGGCTATACACACTCAGGCTACCATAAAACCTTGTCGGCAACCATTGCATGCGACAGAACCTCATGTGAGACTGAAACATAAACTCATTCAAAACATTGTACCCTTTTGAAAGACTTTCGTAACCCCCAAAA